TAAATGTTGTAATATTACTTAATTTCAATTTAAATATCTTTAGGCAGTACAGTTAATACATCCCGAACGATGTTTTGTTGACGTTAATAACAATTATAATAATAATCTAAATAATCTATTTAATTATATTTATCCATTGATATTTAAATTTGTGTAAACTTCGAATAACGCTGTATGAATGGAATGATTAAATTTAGGTTATAATGATTATTTATAAAATAATCGCACAGTCCTAATCTAACAAATGATAGATTTACAAAATACCCATAAACTCTTATTATTAATTAATTACTATTTACTAATTAATGTTAATTAAAATAATTCTAAAAATAGCTGAATCTAGTTTTCAAAATTTAGGTTTACTTCCTAACCATAACCAACTATTTTCACGATTCCTATTAGTTCATTTGTATTTATTAACCTGCACATTTTATAATATTTATTAAGTTGCACAGAACCCCATTTCTTAAAAAGTATGCTGGCGCACTATTTTTTTTCTCTCTCTGACCCATTTACAACGTACCGAATTTATGTTCGACAGAACCAACCCTATGTTATTACTTTTAGTATTTGAGTGAATTCATATTTTATACACTAAATTAAGAACATTTTCTGCGTCACTGCATAGGCTATATTTTATGGTATTTTAATTTGTATGTAAATTATTGTTAAAAATGCTTACAGATGTAGCTACACAGGTAACATTCTTATAACTTAAAGTTTGATAAAAGGTAAATTCACTTTTAATATTAAAAGTAATAACACGTCAACACATATATAATATCGTATTATTTAAATACATTTCAGGTAGGTAAAGTTATATGCTTTGATGAGCTAGATTTGGTGGCCATTATTAATTTTAGCATTACTCATTCCAGACGGTGACCCTAATTCTATTTTTAACACAATTTGTAAATGTATATGTATAAAGATGTTTTTTCCATGGCCGTGATTTTTGTGATGAAATATTAAAAAAAAAATTATAAGCTTCGTATTTTATTTATATTATATTATAATGATAATTGATAACTAAATAGGTTTTATTAACACTAAACTTATTTTATCGTGTTTTTATTTTTTAAATAACTATTCACATCAATCTTGTAAATAAAATTGCTCTGGAGTATAAACTTTAAATTATTTTATACAATGGAGTCTATTTCAATCTATTTGAAAATCAAATAATAAAATCCATTGTAGGTATTACCTAAGTGTTTTCATTTTATTAAGATTGTTTTTAATGCATATATGCATTTTTATTATAGTAGTGACGTGACATCTAATGTTTTAAATTCAAGATGGATCATTTGTGTTTAATTTTTATTTGTATCAAACTACTTCTATTACAATTAGCGTCGCTGTATGCATCACGTTTAGTTATTACTTAATACCATTTTACATTTATACTCCCTTAAAAAAAAGATTACTTAAGAAGTTAAGAATCAATGATGGATATGGTGAAAACGATCAAGTTTAGATTTCTAAAAAAATATATTCTTCATATGTAAATTATTCTAAATAAATAAAAAGTGGTTTCAACTTTCAATTACTTTGATTAAGGCAGTATAACCAGACATGTTCATATAATCACATGATTTCTTCATTACAAAAATATGCAACTATATTAAAAAAAGAATTTATTTAGCTTTCATTATGTAAATTGATACATGTTGTATTGAATGTTAAAAATACCCTCGAAAGGTTTACCATTATTATTTCTATTTAGAACTTAAAGTATCGTTGCAGCCTAAGCTCTAAATATTTCAAAAAATAATTTTAAGAGTTAAATCAAATTCGAAATAAAGGATTATATTCTACTTATGTGGAAGATCCCTCACTGGCTCTGATTGTAAGATAGTGATGCATGAGATATGGTACTAATTTTGTTGTATTTTCATATTTTGGCCTTGAGTCTTGATCATTACATTTATTCCTTATCAACATTTAAATTGAAACTCATATTTGTATTTACTTAGTATACCTCTAGCTATGTTTGTGTATAAACATGTAACAGTTAAATAGACATTATTTTATTTTGGGTTATTTAGTAAATTCATGTTCTGTCGATTACGTTGTAAATTAAATCCTCTTCTTTAGGTACAGTTAAAGAACTAAGGGTTATGTGTGATGATATTAAAGGACTTTTTGCTCACGGTTATTTTCTTCTTGTTTCATTCGATGTTCTTATCGTGTTTTTATGAACACTGTAAATGAATTAAACGACGCTAATCTCCGACGTGCCCTTACTGTGCCCAACGAAGCCCGAAAAGTGTAAATCATAACAATATTTGGGGTTGAAGCGGTTACGTGTCTGTGTACAATGTATATTATGCTAATAAATAATAATAAAACAATTCTGTTCAATGTCAAATTTTTTATCTACAGATACTGTTGAGTGTTAATCGTTTTAATAGTTTAATCCTATTTAACGAACGCGGCCGTAAACATTACGTGACAATTATTTCGCCTTTTTTTTGTCGTTAGTACACTTGAATGAAAATTATCTTCGTTTCAAACGTGTGTCGAGACTGATTTAAACTCCAATTAGTTTTTCCGTGTCGTTTGTCGGAGACTGACCTACATGTCGCCTCTGTAAAGTAGTAAACACCTGTGTGTTGCAAAATCACTCGCAGGCCAGTACATAGTAAATAACAATAATTTTTACTGTCGATGATGATGGCTATCGCACCCGGGACGCGTGTACCACGTACTGATGTTCGTCGCCGTCGTGGCGTATTCGATACGCACATGTGGAACCTGCCGGCTGCGGCGGCGGTTATTGTTGTACATACGACGACGACGACGACGACGACTACGACGTTGTAGGTGGGACGATGGAGCGGCGGCGGTGGTGCACACTGCACAGCTGTCACGGACATTGTTGTGGTGGGAGGGTGGAAGGGGACCGCTGCAACGTGGAATCCGCCGTCTTGCCGTAGTTGCCGCCACTGTGGTGCGTGTCTGCCGCGCTGGGCCTCCGACAAAGATCATCCGTCGTCGCGTACAGTGTGTTTGTTCAGAATTCTGTGCAGTAGTGTGTTAGGTGTCTGGTCAGCAGTCAGTGTCGTGTCGTATCTCATATATTGTTTAAATACAGAAAGTGGTTGTCGACTTCGTCCGTGTTCCTCTCGCCCTTATTACTACTCAGACGCGGTCACTCCGTTTCGTTTCACACAGTTCCTCCACCGCCGTCCACTAACGCAATGGCGCCCAAGAAGTACAACAGCAGATCCAACAGTAGCTATATGGCGCCCGCTGTCGCATTGCCCGAGAGGGGACCAGGTACGTGTCCGATTGACGGTGTCTATAAGGGACGTGCGTGGCGCTCGCATATGGTCCACACGGGCCGAGCGCTTTTTTCCGGTATCTCGTATTCTTGGTGTCATGTTACAAACTCTGCGACAAAGACGACGACGAAACGTGGAAAATATATTTCTCTTTGTCCGTGTTTTTGATTTTTTTTTTTCATTTCGGAAACGTGGCCGTTTCGATTTGTAAAACAAGTCCGTTGTCTCCCCTCTGGCTTTCTTCCCCCTCCGACCATCAGAAACGAGTTCGTTCGAGGTTTATGTGGCTAGTATTTTGGAATCGGCGATTTTTAGCTTTTACAGTTACGCGGGTAATTGCTCGACCGAAACGCCGTCGTCTCTCCCGACCGTGGTTGGTAGTGGTGGTGGTGGTGGTGGTGGTGGTGGTGGCGGTGGTGATGTGGAACCGACGAATTTTGTCGACGTTTGCGGATCCAGACCGACCCGTCCGAACCTAACACATTCCTATCATCAACCCAATCCCATGTCAACTTTTTCGGATTCAACCGTTTGTTAAATTCGGGTCAGCTGACGGCAATATATTTTAATCTACTTCTTCTGATGTGACTCGAGTATCGTTATTTAATTCGTATCTACACACGTCGAAAATATGTTTAATTTGATGAAATCGATGTTATCTCGAATATAAAAAACTCATAAGCGATTTACTCGGTTTTTTCTGTGGTGTCTTATATAGACCTGCTATTGATCTATTATAAAAATATTAAGTCAAAGAAATTACTATTAAATGTAATTTCCTTAGTATAAGTGATTAAATGGTGTTGTTTGAGGTCATAAGTAATAATCAAACTATAGATTCTGATGCTCTGAGTGGAGCGATGAATGTTGATTATCTACGTTGTTTTTTTTCTGATGGAAAATTGGGTCTAGTTGGCACTTTAAAACCAAAAACGTTGTGGAAAACCAAAAAAAATGGAACAAAACCAGTTTTTAAAAAATCGAATTGTTTTTTGATGAAACTCCATAAATGAATAAACGAAAATACTTCAAAATGTTTATTATTATTTTCTGAACATGATATTATAACTTTTTTGAGCTTTTTATATACATTTTAAATTTTCGATTTTTTTTTTCTTCCAATGGTTTTACTCGGTCAAAATATTTCAAAATTTGAAATAAAGCACCCTATATTTTTTTCTATTAGCGTTTAAACTAAAAACGTTGACGAAAATCATGAAAATGTGCTAGAAATTTTTCTTTTAAAATTTAGGCCTATTTCACTGACTAGCATTATAGTACACGTGTATATTAATGATAGCACTCACAGATGTAAAATGGGCCTATGTTTTGAAAATTTACACTAGCTGTGTGCCTGTATTTAATTTGTTATTGAAATGCAAATGTGAGTTTTTTTCTTAATTAAATTTTATGAATACATGAATTTTGATGAACTGATTGATTGAATTTGATTTCCAAAAAAACATAAATTGTATGTTAGATATACTGATTTAAGTATGTTCCATGTTTATACAATGTTTATATTACTTTAAAATATTATACACTAGTAACTTTTCTTAATATGTGATTATTATTTTATATTTTTATAGATTATCATATTTATAGTCACTATATTATTATAGTAATAAAATGAATGACTTGCTATTATAATATTATTTCTACCCATGCATAATAAAAATATATAATAATTGTTTATTTTGTATTTGTTTACAGTTGAAGCTTTGGTATATTGGAGAGATCCCATATCATCAGGAATTGTTTTTGGTGCTACATTAGTTGTATTGCTGTCTTTTGCGTATATGTCACTGATTAGCGTAGTTGCTTATCTGGCTATGTTCATTCAATCTGGATGTATTCTTTTACGTCTGTACAAAACCGCCCTACAGACAGTCAATAAAACTAATGAAAGTCATCCATTCCAGTAAGTAGAAAAACTGATCGATAATAACTGTAGTCAATTGTATTATATTTATTTGTTTGTACTTTATAGAGAATACCTTGACTTGGATATCAGACTACCACAGGAAAAAGCTGAAGAAGTGAGCAAATTAGCTGTTGTACACGTTAACGCCGTATTGGTTGAACTTCGCCGCTTGTTACTTGCTGAAGACTTGGTCGACTCGGCCAAATTCTTTGGTATTCTCTGGGTGTTGACATACGTTGGAGCTTTGTTCAACGGCCTTACACTCATAATTATTGGTACTTACAGTCATTTTTTTTTTCATAGATAAATTATTATTTAATTCAATTTCTTTCTCAGGATTTGTTGCTCTGTTCACATTACCCAAAGTCTATGAGAACAATAAGACTCAAATCGATCAAAATATTGAAGTAGTAAGAAGCAAGATTGCTGAATTGACTAACAAGTGAGTTTTATTATTGTTATATGCATCACTATAATATGTATAAAGCACTTCAGAAGACTACATGTGTATTAATTGTTTCTTTTTCAGAACACATAATTCAGCAAAGCCTATTTAGTTTTGAAGGCTTTATCTATGTTCTCTTTTCAGTTTTTATTAATGTATTAATCTTAAAACAAATTATAACCTTTTTAAATTGTAATATTTTATAAGTATTTAAAAAATATAAAACTTGCTTTAGTAGTAATATATCCCCCCTACTAAAAAAACTGACAAAAGAATACTGATGTAACTTTCTTGTGTTTAAATTTGATGATTGATCAAAACTTAATTAAATGTATTGTGCTGTACATAAGTTAATCACTATGTATTCTTAAGACAATAAATACACGTATAGGCATAATTTTAAAAGCAGTAATTGATGTTGGATTTAATGATTGTAATCGTTTTATTTCAGAGTTCGAGCAGCTATTCCAATCGGAAAAAAGAATCCAGAGGCAAAAAAGAAGGAATAAACTCCTTTATTTTTGTTCGTATAAAAGTCCATCAATATTCTTGTGGTCGATGATAACATTTTTAGGCCAACATTTTTTTTTTTTTAATATATATTTATATATATTTAGACTTTGTCGTCCCAGTAAAATTAAACATTTATACTATTATTAAAATACTCATTTCTCCCGTTTTTAAATAATTTCTATTGTATCACGGGAAAATATGTGTAGATCGTCTTTCGACATTACTATTTCACCACATAATGTAATTGTGTAAAGGTTTGTGAGTTATTTCATTTTTGATTTTCAGCCTGTTACAGCTTTCGCTCATTTTATTGTTCTGCCCTCCTCAAATTTTACCTTCATTTTTATTCCTCTAGCTATATTATAATATAGCGAAGCAAGCTAGCTTAACTTTAAACAACGCTATTTGTTTGTTTATACTTATAATATATTTACTCTGTTGAGAATGTGTTAAAGTTTTTTTTTCTTTTCTTTTTTTTTATAGATTTTGTTTTAGTTTCCTATTTCTATATATAAATTAAATAGGTAAGTTTAACAATTATTTTATAACTCAAAACGGTTAATATTGAATGTAGCTATACATAATATATATATATATCATTAAATATGTGAACATTTTTACATTTTATTGTTACAAGCTATAAGCATACACTGTCATTTTTTTCTTTAAGACAAAATAGTTATAACAGCTGTTCACTTTTATAACATTAATTATATAAACAGGAAATACCATCGAATCATCAATCAATACAATATACTAATGGTTATTATTATTATACTTTTTTTTCAATGAAATTTTTTGTATTTTATTATTTCAAATCCTATTAACTAATTTTATTATATGTTTTAATGGTACTGAGTTCCTTTTTGTTCCTTTATAAAAATTGAGTGGGTAAAAGTGAAGGAATATTAGTGTATTCACTTTATATTATCTATTGTCAATAATTAATTTGATCCTGTACAGCTAGAAACAGACAATTGCTAAGGTTAGGTTAGTGAAATTATGTCTGAATTCTTTTATTATACATGACAAAACGTTTTATGTATCTGATAAGTAATTGGATAACAATTAGGTGTCCAACATTGAAATACTGTGGGATTTATGTAAATACAAATGTATCTAATAATTCAATATATATTACACCTACCAATTATATTGTAATATATTGATGCATTACTCTTACTTTATAAGTTAGTTTATAACTTTTTTCTTTTGAGTGCGTTGTTTTAAAATGTAATTCTTTAAACTGAACTGGACCATCTAAAGAGAGTATATTTAATCATGATAGGAACAATAGTTGGATAAAATTAGTTGACTGCAGTGGTTGAATATTAATTGGTTACGGATGGTTTATTGGTATTGATATGTACTCTGCTGCTAGATAGCGCTATCCTATATGATTGAAGAATAATTCTCGATCACAGTTGAACATCTCAAACCATGTTCTTCATTAAGAATTTGAGTAATAAATTAATAACCTATAGAACTTGATTGATGCTATAAGCTAACAGCCCAATATGTATGGTTTTGACTTTTAAACATATCTTGTCAATATGACATTAAGTAGGTCATCCTAAATTGCTCTAATATGTTGAATTTTAAGTATACGATAAACATCTGTGTTCAGACAGTATTACTATTGTCTACTTCTAACAATATTTTATAATGTTCTTCCATGGTAGATATTAGGACAATAGGTGTACAATGGCATAATTTCAGTTTTTAATAGAGGGGGGGAATTTTGACCAGCCCTAATAGTAGGTAACTTGAAAAAAAAACTTTTCCAAAGTACATTAACATACTACGTTCCTTTTCTTTCATAAACACACAAACAACTGGGCAGATTTTAAAATCAAACAGGGCCAAAGGCCCCTTTGCCCCACTCCCTCCCAAATAACGTCACTGTAAGTATACCGTGGAAAATCTTTTATGGATTCAACTAACATTTGCTATAAGCTTGGCTCTTCTATTCAAGGTTGATTGATAATTTAAGGTTGATTATCCACCTCGGTTCTATTATAATTATTAATGATAAGCTGGTATTAGATTACTGTATCTCACTAAGTAGTGAGAGCTACTGCCCTACGGGTTATCTACAATTCACGAAAAATGAAAACGTCTTTAATTATTTATAATACCAAATTAAAATACACATAAAAACATTTGACATTAAATAATTAAACATTATACATTATAATAAATATTAACAATTATTATATCATAATATTATTATACGTTGTTACATTTGGTTGTCATGATTATTTAACTTTTAAATATGCAATTCCATCAAAATTAGAATGTCAAATGTCCATACAATTAACTCAGATACCCATAAGTCATAACCTATGTCTGTGTAATTTCAATATTTTTAGAATGCTGTACACCATGCTGCATGAATCTTGTTTAAATATTCATGCTTCATATATTTAGATTGAAACAGAACAGTGAACACTGAACGGAGTAGGTCCCAACTACTAACGGTCCAATCAGATCTTATTTATTATTTGCTACTAGAAACTACCCTCAATGTTTAAGATTAAAAAAATTTCTATTGCTTCAAGCTTTTAAAGGGAGGTAACGAAAATCATAATAATTGTATAACCAAATACCAATACATTCATCGACATTGCTCCGCTCATAATCTGCAACATCTAGATTACTGATAATACATTCGAATGAGTATTATACCAACAGCTTAACTCATGACAAATTAAACAAATCTATCCATAAGCTCAGTGCTCACTGCATAAAGTGTAAGTTATGGAATGCTAAAAAAAATAACGTTATGTGATTAATATCTATAACCCATGCTACAGTGATCCACAGCCCTGTACCCCTTCGCTTCACTACAATACAATATATTAAAATGTTTATGAAAACACCGGTGAGCTAAAGCTTCTTATCTTTTAAATTAACCTCACCATCGCGGATTATCTACACAATGAGGGAACGAGCAACTTCGCCTTTCCCCAGACGATTTAATATAATCATAATATATAGATATATAATTATGACTATTCATTTATTAATCATAAACGGGTGTAATATATAAATCATCGGCGAGCACACCGAAGCCCTCTCTCCATATTTGCTTATTAAAATAGACTTTATTGTATTAACTTTAGAAAACAGATAGGTAAAAATAGAACAGATAGGTAAATAATATTATTAAAAATCAATACAAAATGTTAACAATAATAATTATATATTTTATTATAGTAACTTAAGACACGTCTTGATACTTATGTATAATTAAATAAGATTCAGTTCTCGATATGATAATGCAAATTATTATCTGTAAGGTAATTATATATTTTAATGTTTAGAACGAATAAACATTAATATTAAAATTATATTTAGTTTAAATATACAAACACGAAGGTAACCACTAACAACTATCAAAGATAATGGTGTGGTAATTAGTAACTACTGATTAATATTCAATACTAACGTACTTCATCACTATAGTTAGTAATTAATAGTTATGTAGAACAAAATTCAACAAATGATATTTATTATAGTATGTTAGGTTAGACAAGGGATGTGTGAATTTTAATGATTTTTCGTTAGACCTTCGACTAAAGTTTTAAGTTAGAAAATAATATTATCTTACCTGGTTATGTATAATATATAGGTTTCTTCAGTTTCTGCTCCACTTTCGACAAAGTTTCTAAAATGTCCTGGTTTTGCTCTCTCTAAAGGCTTTAGTTTTCATCTGATACGAATTCATCTTGTAATGTGTACTGTGTAACAATAAAATGTAGCGTTACCTTTTATTGTTTGCTTAGACAATTTCTAAAAGAATATTCTTACGTAGTAAGCAATAAGCTTCGTATACCACTACAATATCGAATTATTATTACTAAAATGTTTTAGAGAATTACTTCAAATGGACAAAAAAATTCGAAAATATTCAACACTTTTCCAATTATATGTCTCTACCAACTAGGTGTAGGTACATATGATCTGACAAATGTTAGTGCGTTAGGACGTTAGGTCATATAATGATAGGAATAATAACCTTCGTACTACACAAAATAATAATTCACCAAAAATATAAAAAAGTTTGCCTAACAATAGTCCATTATTAATGATAAACAAATAATTGCTATTCATATTTTGTGTACAACAATGAAATAGAGGTTTGATCCCTGTAATCTGTATTTAATAATTGGCGGCTTTGTAACCTTCTTCTAACTTTACAGCCTTGAGTTAACCATGAAAATATTTTATCAACTATTTTACCTATTTAGTAATTTAATAATTATTTAAAATATTGATATTATAAGGCTGTAGAGTTTGCACGTTTGAACTTGCTAATCTCAGGAACTATACGTCTATACCTACAATTTATTTAGTCTAAAATTTCAAAAATGTATTTTTTGTTAGATGGCCTGTTTACTGCAAGGCAGCTTATAGTTTAGACTTTAATGGGCCTTTTAATAAAATAATAACAAAGTCACAGAATTCAACCTCTAAATGTTGTATTATTATTATAGGTGTCTATACACGTGGGAGGAGGGATATGGGGGATAAACCTTAGCCTTTTACTTTTAAGTACTGTTAGCTCATCGATACTTACAAAAAAGGAGGCTTAAATGTCAAGGCAAATGGCTTAAAAGTTAAAACCCTTTCCTATTCTGCGAAACTCAAGGTTTTACAAAATGTTTTGTAAATATTATGTTTTTTTCTGTTGCCTCTTTCGGTGTGTTAGGAATGCAAGTCCGGGATTTTCAATTTTCTTGCAATCGGTCAGAACAAAAAGTTTACTATTCGCTGAACTGAAAAAAATAATTTTCCAACTCTTCAACTGGTCTAAAAAATTTTACTTTCGGCGCAAGCGTTTGAAGTTCAAGAGGCAAAGGCATAAAAAAATGTCAACGGCACGTAGTGTTCCCAAGCGGTCACCCTTCCAAGTATTAACTACACCCGACGTTGCTTAACTTCAGTGATCAGACGAGAACTGGTGTATTCAACGTGGTATGGTCGCTGGCATCTGCATGGGGACACATGGCATTACTTAATTGTTACAATTTAAACTGTTCTTACAAGTTACAATATTATTATATCATAAATCATAATATTGATAACATATTCATATACGATAACACAATATTTACAATGTATAATCTATATATTTATAAACGACAGACAAAATATTTGTGAGTATTAGGTGGGGGCATAGGCGCAACTAGACCTCTAAAACAGGGGGTGCTAAATATGTGAATGCACCAAAGAGCCGTGGGGGGCTTCGTCCCCCACACCCACTACACATGAGCCTGCAATGCTCGATTATTCAACATTTTAAAACATATATTAACACACTTCACATAAATAAAATAAAATAAATTTATAATACTTTTTTTGCTAAAATTTCAGTAACATAAGAATACATTATAATTTCATAATTTTGTTAGCAAATAACTTATATATATATAATACATTTTAAATTAGCATAATTTTTCTAGGTTTTATACAATATTTATTTAAAATAGTTTCAGTGTTAAGCTGATTTAATATATCTTTTTCAATATTCAGCAAAGATAAATTGGTAAACCTTTGCTGAAGCATACTTGATCTTAACCAGTTTTATTATTTGCTTTATTTTTATGGGAATATCCGTGTATGGAATGAATTAGAATGAATTATATTATAAGACTTACGACCAAATAATTAAATATTTTTTCAGGAAATTTATCATAATATTTAAAAACGTAACATTCATGGTATTTCAATAAAATAATAAAAGTTAGATATAAAAAACAGGGGGTGCTAAATTTTAACTTGGGGGTGCTAAAGACCTTTTTGCACCCCCTAGTTGCGCCACTGGGTGGGGGATGTTAACTATCAAGTTGTCACTGTCTTGAGGGGCTTTCCTCCCACTACGGCACTACACCCCCCCCCACCTTTGTTGCCTTAAATTATAATAATATTTTAATATAATTAATCCGAAATACGTTTCCAAAATTGTTATAGCCGTTACAGGTACTATTATAATATTATGTAGTTGACATACATGTTAGGTGTTTTTATCATATTATCATGTACGGGTTTCCTAGAAGCAATTGAGAGATGAGGTTGATCTGCTAGATTAATTTTCTGTCTATTAATTGCATTTACATATAGATAATTTTATTGTCATAATACAAAATATGACCGATACGAGCAGTGGCGTATATACGAATTATTTTCACTATGGGCCGATTTATCAATTATCACTAGTCAAGCAGCATAGCCATAATTATACATTTTTAAGGGAGCAGCTGTTATATAATTAAGAATTATGACATATTATACAGTTCAAATAAAAATTGCGCAATTCAATTTTATAATTATTATGTAAAATTAATTTTTTGTTTCTTTTTTTAAAAATATTGACAGTGTCGTTTGTATATTTTAATGTTATCTTACTATGAATTTAACATCAAAGTCAATAAGTCATTAAAGCAAGTCCCGTCAATATATCTAACATTTCCTTGTAGATTACTCAAAAATGATTTTAATCAACCGGCTAACTTAATCATGGTGAAAAACTGTTAACAGTGTAAATATACATTCAATTCTTTAATTTATCCTGCAATTTCACTATGGGCTCTGGCCTAGGGGGCCTCCCCCCTATATACGCCACTGGATACGAGGGCATACAGATTACAGCCACAGCTCATAGTCCCGATACAAATAATATCCACAGTTCACATTCGGTATGTTTCTAAATGATAGACAACGGTTTCTGTTTGCGATTCATTTTATTTTTGTAGTTATTCAATAAGTAAAAGTTTCATTAAGACTAAAACTTTTAGATTCTAGACGGAGCGAATGAGCGATGATGTATATTTTTTTTGTGTCTCTCAATACCTTTTTGGACAATAAAAGTGCTTTGATTTTCTTCAAAGAAGTGAAGTGAATCTAGTTGGTAGCTGGTAGGTACTTGCATGATGTGTCAAAAGTAAAATATTTCCAATAGTTTTCAAAAACGACAGGATGAACGAACAAAATATTAAGGGAAAACGGGAATTTTTAAGGAAAACCGGTTTCTAAAAAATCGATTTTCGTTTTTGATGCAACTCTAAAAAAAAAAATATCGTAGATTCATGAAACAATCACTGAATGTTTATGTCCTCATTTTCATACATCATACATTTTTCAAAATACTTTGACTCGTGTTAAATTATTTTTAGGCATATGAAATTCTCGATTATTTTTAGTTTTTTTAAAACTAATGTCGATACAAGATTTTTCGCTAAGTCAAAATTCTTGAAAATGTAATACAAGGTTCCTCGTTATCTGTTTTTAGTGGAAATAAAAATAAAAACTGAGTGTAAACCTACAATAATTTTTTATGATTGTTTGAATTTAGAATTTCGACAAAAATCGTAAAAATCATGAAAATTCGGAAAATTATTTTGAGTAAGAAATTCATCAACAATTTTCTTTTTATATTTACAATTTTAAAATTTAATACAAGGTTTTTTATAAGTTTTCCTATATTTGCCGAAAAAAAATTTCGGAGAGTCCAATTACATTTTTATGATCGTTTGAAGCTGACATTTTGATAACATTGGATATTCACTCGATTTCTCTTGTACCTAGCGATTTTCATATTATATTTTGTTGTAATTCAAAAACAAATAACTGTAGATACTTGAAGTTTACACCATATTATGTTGATTTTATCAATTCACATAATTGATAAAATTTCCAAAATATTTTGACTAGTTTGAGCTGTTTACGAACATTTTCAATTTTTTTCCGTATGTCTGTATTAAGGTGAAAATGGACATTCCGTGATTTCACACCAGAGTTTCTACCCAAAGATTTGTCGGGTTTCCTGAACCTGCTGTTTTAAAAGCTAGAAAAATATTAATGTTTAAATAAATAAATGTATAGATTTTTTGTCCAAGTAATAAACTTCTTACTAATTTAATATGGATATACACCGACACGCAGTTTATAATAATTATTTATATATTAATAAAAACGAGAAATTGTATTTCAACTATAGATTTAAATAATCTAACCAGCTTTTTCTTTACATGATGATTGATGGCTATGGTATAACATATTATATATAATTCAACTATGAAGGTATCTAGTTGTTAATTGTATATTTTTAAAGCAATAACTAGAAAATAAATGTTTAGGGCATATTATAAGTGCATGCATATTTATCATTTAGTGATTTTGTAGAATTACAATCTACTAGTCTACCCTACTCAATACTCATATGCCATAGTATACCTACAGCATTACAGCAATAAATATTTAAAATTCGACATCTATTATCTATAAAACAAAATCATATCTTATTTTTTTTTTGAGACATCTCCGACATAGTTCATTAATTACTTCATCTGGTGTTATTTGTTATTATAAATGATCGGTGACATACCAATAAGGTCGACCCAATTAGCCTGTCCTAATGATAAGAATACAATATTATAGGTACTAATAAACTTATTAATAATCATGTAGGTACCTTCCTTAATAACAAATAATAAAAAATAATAAAATATTTTGTGATAGAATCATTTATACAGTTTCTTATAAAGGACTTAATGATCTTTAACTGTCGCTCAGTTTACTACATGCAGGTAATTTTCTAATACATTTAAATGTGTACATTTAAATTATAATTACCTCAACATATTCAACACAGAATTTTGTATTCGTCGAGAAGTACGAACATCATAAACTTTAATGTAGGACCACTGTTGACTAGGTTGTCACTGTTGACCTGCAGATATTTAAGATTGTAAAATTAGTTTAATAATAATAATATACCTAGTAATAGTATTTACTATTTATTATTGTAAGTGTTAAAATTGTAATGAAATCAGCAAATCGCCCTCATATCACAGTTATTTTCAACAATAACCGTGAAAAGTTTAAGACCTAAATGTCGATGCTGAAAATTGAACGTTCGAACAATAATGAACGTATTATAAGAAACGAATATGCACATAAGCACGTTGCGCACCAATTATTCCTTTATAACGTGTGTTTTAATTTTTACACTGTACAAAAATGTGTACAGCGATTGTGTGCATTACTGTAGTACTACAATACATACAGTTCCGTCGCGGACACTTGCCCGTTTGGCCGTCGAAATAACACAATCCAAATATGTTATTTTCATATTCTGAATTTCTATATTTATATTTTGTAACATAATCTTAAAAACACTACAGTGGTACTTAGTTGTATTATTATGATTTATGTTTTCAATTTTCCTGAGTTTGGATAGGCATAGACGCATAGTGCATGATGCGCACTTGTGCAGTTGTACACATATATAACACGAGCCGCCACTGTCTGTACCTACTGGTTTGTTATGGCCCCGCCCGAGAGAGTGAAAACTTTATAGTTACTAACTATGTAAACCCAGGTTTTTGTCTCCCAGCCATCCATAATCATAAAATATGTACCGCGTTTTAATAATATTTTTAATATTTTGTTTTTATTATAGACATGTAGTACATATTTTATACATACTAGCTCATCGAAAACAATACCCTTACTACTGGCAACCACAGTTTAAGAAATTATATAGTTACGTATATGTATATCCATATTAATTACTATGAAAATTTACTCGTACAATGATTTACCTATTCGCGGATCAGTGGCGTATTAAGGTTTTTTTTTGGGGGGGGGGGGTCCCCATGAATTTGGTGATTATGAATTTATCAAGTAGTCAGGATCTAAAGGGTGCTTTTTTAATGTCATCAATAGAAAATACATTACCAACATTGTACTATTATATTATGTAACATATACCTACAATGTAGGTACTACCAATGTTTTCTACTTAAGATTAAAAATTCATAAAAACAAAATTTTATTTCAAATATATAAGACATAAGAATATTATTTTTTTATTTTTTATTAAATTACTCATATTAATATAATATACCTAAGTCATTAGGCATACAGCAATAAATATTTACAATTTGACATCCATGGTTGTATCTATAACACAAAATCAAATCTTTTTTTGAGACATTTCAGACATATAGTTCATCAATTATTAAGTAATTTGGTTTGATGCATCTTGTATATACAATATACAGATACTTAGGAGTTTGTGTGCGTGTTCGGTCAAAGAGGGGGGGGGGTTATAGTCTCCATAGCCCCTCTGGAAACTGCACTGTCCGACTAGTCTACTATAGATATATAGGAAGGTTATATAGTTAAGGTGCTATTCTCTTAACGCCTATGCTTAATGGTCAATGGATTGTTAACCAAATTATTCGAGGTCGAAGATAAAAATATTACAAAAATATTTATAAAGATATCTTCTACTGCCTCGGTGAAAATAGACGATAATCAAGGTGGCAAATGCATCTCTAATATATATTATCTAATCTTTGAATACCTAAATATTTATTTTTTTAATACAAAATATGCTATACATTTCAATATTATTCTTTTGTTGAATTATGAAGGGACTTTAGTCTTCCCAAAATTGTTTGTAGGACGTTTACGCCTATAGAGGTCGATTCATTTTCGACAGCACTGTGTAGGTAGATATAATATCATGATCAAGTTATTGAATTCTAAAACGTATACCTAACTATGATATCATCTAATTTGATATAGTTATGGCTCATTTTACACTCTCAACATCGTTATTTACAATTTTGTATTTGTATCGTATCCATTAGAACTTGTAATGTAAATTTAGAACAAACGAGACTGTCGTTTATACGTTATATAATATACTGTATGAGAGTCCAGTCCTGGTTTTCGCCATAACATTATATACAGACCTACACTTAAATTACGATATCCGTGGAAACTCGCTCATCGGCTGCTGTATTGCGTTTATGTTCTTTTTGGTCGTCCTCGACTGCGTCTGTCGATGAGACGTGAGTGGTTTCCTGGATCCTCGGCAACGACGGTTCGTCGACCACTACTGGACAGCGATAACCGTGCGATTCGGCGATCGCCTCTGCGTAGTAACAGCGGTCGTCAGCCACCACGCCAACGTGGCACATTACCCAGTCGGCCAAGGGTCGGGCATCCACATCGGTGGCCGAGTCGTTCAATATCTTCCAGCCGATGTCCGACGTGAACGGCTCGCCGCTAAGCGCGTACCTCTTGGCGCTCAGCATAACTTTGTAAACGAAAGCGTGGCACGCGACCGGCGAGCTGATGGTCCGATCGCCGTACTGGACGGCGTCACCCGTCGCTCGGTACACGCCTCCGCGGACCACCACCACGCTACTGTCCAGCACAGTGCCGCCAAACTGCCACAACACCACCAGCTGCACCACGAATTTGGCGAGTGTCTGGCGACCGCTTAGGTCCATACCTTGAAACGGTGAACACTCCAGACACTCCTCTAGACTGACATGCGACACGTTCAACCGGGCGTCTCCGTAGGTGGCCATCAGATCAGCCAGGGTTGACGACATCGACACCTCCTATATGAAAATTCACAAACATCGCAATATTGCAATCATTAAACATTTGCATGATGAGTGCCAAACAAGTGTCATATATTATAATACGTATTTTTTTTATTTTTTGTTTTATTTAGTTGTTTTGGACGCGTGTACAACTTTGCAAACGAAAGTTTCATGTGACCTACCAATGCGTATTACCCATTAAAATATAATTAAATACTTATTAGTTACTTATGCATCTATATATATTTTTAAATAACTTAAACAATTAATAGATACACATAAGTATAATACAACATAACAATTTAAGTTTGGAAATAATATTTAACAAAACAACTTTTTTAACACACCCCTTTAATGAATATCAAACATGTATTCATTTTTTCAGTTGGATTTTGTCCGGGCACAAAAATATAGTGAAAGAACTAATTTGAGTATCGAAAAACTGCTGATAGTTGTAATTTCCTGATCAGAATACCAAATTATTATTATTATAACGATTCATGATGTCACCAGATTTTTAAAATAAATTAAAAAAATAAAGTGGTAGGTACTTTGGTTATATTTTAATATTAATAGAAAGTATTTATTAGATTATTGTATTGCATGGCTTTCAGTTCGTGAAATTTCATGAAAAGGTGTCAGAAAAAGTAAAAAGATGTTTCCATTTCATAAAAAGATTTATATTCGATTTCACAAATACGTGACTATATATACAAAGTATATATTCTCAAATTATTACATTAAAAAACATCAATCCCATGGTTATCAAATATAGTGAACTACAATCCAATGAATATTATATATTAATAATATATCTATTGACTATTATCTAAGGTGTTTAGCCGTATGGCTTATAGGTAATATAGTATGGCCCTGGTGCCTTAATCGTTTAAGTTAAAATTTAAGGAAATGTTCCTACCTTTAAGTACTCTGAGTAATTAAGTTCTAGTTTGAACGATTGATTTTATCGGGTACTCTTTTAGTCATTCAAAAGTCAAAGGTTGTCTGTAATTTATAAAATACCGATTCTTTGACATAAAAATCAATATTATAAGGAGAAAATCGTTCGAAGGACAAAGTACAGCAACGGGGAATAGTAGTCCATTTATATAATCAAAGTAGGTCGATCTAAAAATTAAGTAGCTCAACATTTTAATCTTTAAGACCAATTCACGTTTCACATGTATGACGTTCATATATACAATTATATATATATATATATATATATAATATATAGTTATTTATTATACTATTTTTGAAAATAATTCAATGTTAGTCGCTGTTAGTCTCTATAGTCGCCATTCAATATTAACACATTAATATAAAATATATGGGCTACAACAAGATTATGTATCACAATAATATAACAAAGTAACGAGGTATCGGTTAAATTTGAAGTTTCAATGAAAATCACGTTTAGTATAATATTTAATTAGCTATTAGGTACTTATTTAAAATCAAGAAAAACCAAAGTATATATAATATTTTTACAATTTCAGATAGTAAGTTTTAATATAGTCCCTTTTAAAAATAGTTTAATTTATTTATTTTAATTTGTTTATTGTATGCCAAGTTCAATTAGATGGTTTTTCAATATTAAATCATATTATATTATAATAATACGTATACAGGCGCGGCTATTGGCAGTGGTGGTATTTCAAATTAACCAACAAATTATATTTTACATAATTCACAATATAGGTTCCAGTATATGCGGGCACTTAATATTATACTAATATGTACCTATTTAAATTTGATAAAATTAAGTATAAATATTTTTAGGAAACAATCTTTGTATTTACCAAAATTATATTAAGAAAATATTTGAATAATGCAGTCTTAAAAATGTACAATGATAATGAATGTCACCTTGTATAATTAAAACCGACAAGGTTACAAAAAGATTAAACAATAACGACTATAAATCATAACATAGTAATTATTTTAATCGTCTAAATTGTATCATATGTTTATCATACAACATTAATTAATAGTATGCAGCTACTATGGAAACAGAACATTGCTATCGAATAACATCTATCTTTAAGCCATTTTGCTGGGTATCTTGCAGGATTTGTTTTGTGAAAATGTGCAAATGAGTTCATTATTTAGCTTATTATCCACTAACTAGATAACTACCTAAGAAATAGTAGATATAAACACTAATAACACTTACCAGTTACCTAAGTATCATACACAAATTTCTGATTTCCAAAACTACAAATTGTATTCATAGAAATGTGAAATGCACAATTGCGATATGTGTCATACAAAACATCTTGCACTGATTAATTAAACAATAATAACTAATTAAAAAGTCAAAGCGGCTTTTCCACATAAAACATTAATGGTAACACATAGTATCATATAGGTCTAAATGACCTACATAACTGTCTAATGATTTAATGACTAAGTTTTAGTCATTGCTTCACGGAACACTTACCGAAAGTGTTCGATTGTGATTCAATAAGGGTCGTTTGATGCCACCAACGACGAACACGTTTACGCGACCGCTACCGTCGCCTGGACCGGCGTTCAAGGCTGACTCCAGTGAACAAGCTGACAGCTGTGGGATGCGGTCGTCGTCGTCGTCCAAGAAAACATAGTGCACGTCACGGAGGTCGATGTCCAGCCTGGCCACCAGCGAATGTTTGGACGCGGTCGGACAGCGTTCTCGGCGTGACGTCAGCAGAGCCGCTGACGGAAAAGATGGCGACTCGATCCTCAGAATAACGCATGTGGCCGTCATCAGGAAAACGATGAACACTCCCGTAAACAGGGACCACATGAACACAACCGCTAGCTGATCTGGTACCGCGACCATGATTTTCTGCGCGCCCTTGTTTACTTTTGCCATGAAACAGACGTCGTCGTCATCGTCGCCACCGTGGCGGCACTTCCGGCTAATCTTCATGATAATGCCCACTGCAAACGTACACATACTTGTAAGTTTTTTTCTCAACTAATTTTGAAAATCATTGATACAAGACGGATCTTTAGAAAATTAAAAAATAGTGTTTTTCAACTTTTGAATGGTGGCTGCAGTTATTTTTTAGCACACATTGTATGCTTGTATAATTGAAGTAAAGATAACAAAATATTAGTATGCGCCGTAAGTAATCAAATGGTAATTTTCTTTCCTATAAATATTACTGTTAAAGAAAACCTAACTATATACAAAATATTCGCCTGTCGTGGAAATATTTGGGGTGATAAGAAACATATGGAAAGCTGGATATTAAACAACGAATAAAAGTATCCAAAACTATAATTTATGCAAATAGTATTCAAATTGTATAAAATATAACTCACGTGCAGCCGAGTTTTAACAGTATCGAAATTAACAAATTATAATGTACCTATAATTTGGTTAACCACTTAACAAGACAAATCAAAAACGATATAATATTATACGACATAGGTACGTAATGCTGACAAATAACAATACCTACTACAATGTAGAATAATATATTTTGTTTAGAGACCGACACCATAGATATATGTTACGATTCGTGCAATGAAGTTGTGAACTCAAAAACAATACTCGTCTGATTTATGTGACTAAAAGATTATTGACAAAAAAATTGTCCAATATACCATGCCCAACAATGTATACTGTAGTATACGAATAACACCTATACTAATATAGTACAATATAAAGTAGTGCGTAAACAATATTTTCCTGTTGGTATGTCGAACAGTGTAAATGTTTATAATTTACGCGTCAGTTTCAAAATATAAAATAAGTATCGAGCAAATGTGCGCATATAATAACGACAGCAGCTTTTTTTCAGTAGAATCGATTTACACAAAACATATTATAATATACCTAACTATATAGTTATAAGTATTATACTGTTCGAAATAGTTGTGAGAAATATAATTAAAATATTATATATTACATATAATAGGTAGGTAATTGTATTTTTCACAAAGATAAAATATCAGACCGAAATTACGTACATATTATCGTTTATTATTGCCATTTTATAATACTCTTAACTGACGTCACCAAGATTTTTTTATCTGAGCTTTTATAAATAAAATAATATTATATTATTACATTATGGCCATTTAAAGAATCATTTACGAGATTGTCTTCTTAGTTTTCATTATAATTTTTTGTCTTTTTATTAAAAATAATTCTCAGTTCAAGAACTATTGGGTTTCGGTTTTTTTTCTACATTAGAACTGCTTTCCTTTGAAGTCTAAAATTATAATTACACTAATGAGGGAAAAAGTTTATATAAATACAATAACAATTTTATAGCTGTTTCTATGATATAGAAATAATTATCGTTCACGAAAATATTGCGTAACTACTAAGTACTAAAGTACTTATTGATATTAAACAACTCTAAAATAAAATCGATACCGTTATTTTCCACTATTATTCTATATTATATGCAATTAATTCCCAAATGGAACTTTGACATTTCATTATTTTATATATATGTTGAAATTTCACTCTTAAAATCCAATAATTTTAATTCAATTAAAATTGTTATTATAAACGTAATCATATTAATCACTTGGGGAAGTTTGATTATATGATATTAATTATTATTAAATTATTCTGAATACTATAAGTTCCATTTTAATGTGTAGGTACCTATAATTGCAAAAAAATAAAATTTCGTTTCAGTTTTCGTATACATTTTGTTATGGAAATTAATAGAGTAATAAAACCATAATTGCTCTAACATTAAAGACTACCTAGGTATTTCAATTATATAATATTATTAATTTATATTAATAATTAAGGAAAAATAATTAAATATAAAGGCTCATTAATGTAATAATTATTATGTGTTAACAATGTTGTATTCTGGAAAATAACACTAGTTTTCTACATTAATTTATTTACCATAAAACAATTATAGAAAAAAACTGTGATGGATCATGGATGTGATAAATATGAAATGATATACCATTGTATACAAAAAATGATTCTGACCGGATTCAGACAATAATACCTATATTTTATCATATTAGTCAGTCTAGAGTATTTTATTTATATTTATATTGCTACTCATGATTTAAATATTATTTTTAATTAATATTGTGGTACATACTATTATGGATTATTTAATTTTTGCAGAAAATATTGCATAATATATTATAATATTAATACCGATTTAATTTTTTGGTTGTAGGCACTTATAGCTATACAAGTTGAAGATTTCATAAATTTTTTACAACAAAAATGTATTTAAATTTATTTGAGATTTTGAAGAATATTGTCAGAATTCGAACTTTAAATAGTTCTAAACAATATAGTGCAGCCTATTAATATATTTAAATAGTTATAATAACAATTTATGAGGAATCTTATATTACAATAAAATATAAATTTTAGATATAAAAATAAAAATATTTATGAATTTCTAACTACAAATAATTTGAACATTTTCACAATATTCACGAATTCCGTAAAATGTGTTGGATGCTCATTAAAAGCCATTGTGGATTTAAGCTCATAATTTTTGAATTTCAGAATTCAGTAATAACAACTTATTAGAAACTTTGAATTTTATTAAGCTTACGGATTGAACGAAAATATCTTTAAAATAAATTATTAAAAAAAGTAAAAATAATTTTAATTAACAATTAGAGTATAAATATTTTGAACATTTTACCATTGTACAGAATATGATTGTATACAGCTATTTAGTGGTTATTTCATGTATCTTTTTTGCTATCATTTTTTTTCCCGATTATTTATTAAAATATTTTGAATTTTCTATTTTGATCTGTAAAATGAACCAACAGGCGACTGTCAACAATATCCAATCTTCCACCAGAATCCACCTTCCGAAATTGAAAATTTTTTCTACTGTTCATTGTGAATAGATACAAAAAAACACACATCATTGTAAAATAAATACATTCATCTTTACCTACGCTCAGAATCTAAAATTAGATAATATATTTTATTGTTTAATCTATTATCTATACCTATACAAAGTTTATGGGTCAACCTTATAAATACCTAATCACTACTATGTAAACGATTTCTAAGAACTATATAATGCTGAGCTGAATGCCAAGTAATAATAGGTATTTAAAAATGTCTATATGCTCTGCTATACATTTGAAATCACACTAAGTTATTTAAAATACATTAAAAAATCTGAGTCATTTAAACATTTTAAACAACAAGCATGTTTACACAAGTTGTTAATGCATTAAACATTATTTTTTACATTGTGCATAATAATTATTACATATCATAATTTAAGTGCCTTTATAGTATTTTAAAATAATTTAATTAATTAATTAAACTCTATTATTATGATAGAATTTATTTTTTAAGTAAAATTTCAACTGCTTTTCATAATATCAATTTCCTATTATATTTCTTATTTATTGCTGTAGTATTTAAAGTTCAAACATTGTCTTTTGAAAAAATTTTATATTTGATTTCGTAGGATATATCACACTGCCTTAGTACAAAGTAGTATAGATACTCACCAGCCGGCAGTAATTAATAATTATACATAATATACTTATATAGTTATACAATCAAACCTTTAAATCTCATATCGATAACGTTATTAGTAAGGCATCAGCTAAATTAGGATTTAAAAAATTCACGTATGAAGATTTCCATGATATTCGTGACCGCATATTGCCCTTAAATTATTGAATATTTCATTGTTAATATACGTTCTCGATTGATATATGCAATCTGATAATGATACACCGTTTCTATAATTCAAAATCAAAATCTTTCTCAAATACAAAATAATTTTTTCAGATTGTTATGCTACTAATGTAAAGTATAAGTACAGAACTCTTCACTCTAATAATTATTATACGAAGTGTTAAAGTATTATTATAAATGTGTTTTTCTCAACCTTATACCTCGGAAAAAAAGATTTAAACTATTGAATTTAAAATTTCTTAACAATCTATTTAGCAACATTGTAGATTTTCCAGAACTAATTGACGAAAACGATTGAACTTTTAAATGTATTCTCATTAATCAAAATATAAGCATCTTTATTATCTATACACAAAATATCAAATAAATAAATGTCATTTTCTCAATCTCATATTTTATGTCTTTAAGAAGTTCTATGAATGATGAAGTGGCTTTAAAGTTGAAATTAATTATTATTTATGATTTATGTTTAATTATTCATTATTTCCGATGTATTATATAAATTATGTACCTCAATAATCAATAATATACATATTTTAAATATTTTAAATATTTATTGTGACAAACTTGTATATATATATTTGATAAGTATGTAAATTGGTATATATTTCCGTACTTATAATAGTATTGTAATACAATTATTATAATCACTTACTCTAAATCATAACCTACGTAATTTAAGTTTAAATCATTATATTCGATTTTCTTTTCGGCAGACCATATTCTAGATTTAATAAAACAACTATTGAGTTCAAGTGATTATTATTTCTTATATATAATTAACTTTGTGCAACTTAATTTGCACTGAATATGTAATATTTATAGATGAATTCTAAGATCTAAGAAGAATTTAAGTTATCAGCATTAGAGGTATACTTACAATATTAAATTTCGTACTATTTCCATTTATTTAATGTTTATTTCACAATTTCGGTATTAAAGTTTATTAAAATAACATGCCATTCAAAATTTGTTTTAAATAGACATAGTCAGTTATTTTTCATTTTTGTACTAAAGCGTATATGCATCTCGTACTGAGAAGCACTGAACCTACTGCTCACGATAATATAGTGAAGTAATAGGAAAGTAACAACGCTTATTTGAATTAATTATTTGAGTAAAAAATAAAAACTCAGTGGATACTTGAGCTGAGACACTGGCATATTTACGGGAGGGGGGCATGGGGTCTGGACCCCTCCCGTTGACCAGTATCTTATACATGTTAAATTTCGTGTTTTTACATGATAAAAAAAAAATATCATACGATATAAAGGATTTTGTAAAAAATTGTCTTCGCTTTAATTGACAACATTTTTAGTTAATATCGTGATTTTTTTGTCATCAATTTACAATGCCAGTATCTACAGATACTCCCAAAATATATTTTTCAACCTTAAAAAGTTTGAAAACTTATCTCAGATCAACTATGAATGAAGTTATTTAGGACATATTTATTATAAAAGTTATAACTTATAACCGAGTTATACAGTATATTTTAAATTTGTTTTGTGTTTAGGATAGACTAAACTGACTTCCATTGATGTCTATAATTCATCGGGATACACCCCTCAATGTAAATGCAATTAATAATAATATGGCTCTAAGTCCTAGGCAATTAGATATTGTTCTCTAATCTCACAATACATAGTGAATGCAGTCTTAAGTTCTCATGGTTTTTTTATAACACTTAAATATAAATTTTAAATTGTTGTAATCATGAACTAACTAGGTACCTACCTATGTCAGCAATTTATTAGTTTACTAGTGAACTACTCACATAATTAGTTATAGTTAATCATAGTTTTACTATTATTACAAAGTTTATGATACAAATATATATATTATATAATAAAAAACTCAAAAATAGTACATAAACTTTTAAATTGAATATGTTATATTTATTTGATAACAAGAAATTTGAAGTTGTGGGAGGCAAAGCCCCCCCCCCGCGGATCTTTTTTCTGAAAGTTATCTGTCAGTTATCCGCCCCTCCACTGAGCTGAGATGATGTAGTATTTCCAACA